AATATGGCAAATTTCGGGAAATTACAAAGAAAACTCAAAGGAAAAGAACTTGTAGTAAACATCAAAATTAACAACAACTTTGATGCAAAATCATTCGAGGAAAGTGATGACCAAGAACCAAAAGCGGAAGTTCAAAGGTTTCAAGATTGGTACTGTGCCAACATTGAAAAAATTGAAGAAATTGCAAACAGGTTGGAAAGTGAAGAAAGGGCTGATGCTACTGAGGCGATACGTACTCTTGTTAAACAAGTGAAATTAACAAGTACAGATCAAACAGAAGCAACAGATATCGCTGAAGATTGCAGCAGTAGTGAAATTGTTAAAGAAAAGAGAGCAAACGCCATTCAACACAGAAAGCACATAAGTGCTTTATTCAAAAAAGAAGCAGAAGATTTCTTAAAAAGTTGCCCAGTCAAAAAACTAACTTTGAACACCTTGTTTGCTTTGATGACTCAAGAAGAAAAGAATCAATTCCCATGTTTATTCAATCTTGTGAAAAAGATGAATGCTAAGAGTCCAACCACTTGCCCAGTTGAAAGATCTTTTAATAAAATTGGACAACTTGATAGAGCAAACATGAGCGTTGAAAAGAAAGTTGCTTACATGGATGTCGGGGATGCTCTGAAAAACTAATTACTAATTTTTAATTCGATTTGTTTAAACAAAACACTTTTATTAATAAACAAACAAAAAAACCTCCAATATTTCGGGTGTGTTTTTTATTGATAAAACAGTATTAAAAAATGTAATATTTCGGGAAGGGTTTTTACTATATTATAATTCATTTTCAACAATATCAAATAAAACTATAAAACGACCCACCCATCACCGTGAACGGGCAGGAAGGAGGGCTATTGGAATGATTAAGGAATCAACCGACATCCTTTTTTTAAACCTCACCCTCTAATTTAATAAAATTATACTATAAATTAATAGATATATACATAATTTAATATTATGGGTAATTAATTATACAATAACTAATATTAATCATATAATATACTAAATAATTATAATTTAATTTTATAATATAATTTATAATAAATTTAATTGTATAATGAAAACTTTTATTTGAATCAAACAAGTTTATCAAATCAAGCAGGTTTACTTTTTGTAAAAGAGAAAAAAGACTTGTGATGAGAAACCATTTTAAAGAGATTTATGTCAAGTCCTTTGAAACTAAAGGAGACTTGTTACTGATAGTCTCAATCTAGATTTATGATCAATGATCGAACAGAGAAGAAGTTG